ATATATTTTGCATATAAAAATGTCTTATACTTTGAGATATCTATAGAGAAACAAAATATAAAAATAAAAAATTAGGAAAGACTATATATAACGGATCGGATATACGGATAAACGGTTATTTAAACGGATGTCAATGCGGAGCGGATTATAAACGGATCGGATGTATGATTACCAAATCCGTATCCGTTTAGCAATCGGATATCCTTAATCGGATATGGATAATAACCGCTTTTAACGGATGCGGATATTTTCCATATAAACGGATACGGATGCGGACGGTAATCGAATTTTCGGTTATCCGTTTACAGCCCTACTAAATAGTACTAAAACATAGTGGTTTTTCCAATGTAGCACCAAATATTTTTATTTTCAATGTAGTACCACTTTTAATGTCTACTGGTCATGTCAAGTAAATGGGCATTGTTCCCGCCATTAGACATCATTCAAGAACTATTAAGGGGAAAAAAGTTAAATGTTACATTGGAAAAGAACATATGTTTTAGTGCTATTTACTGCAAATTTCACAAATAATTTTGTTTAAGTTCTTATATAAATAAATAGAAAATATCCTTACAAGGTAAAATTAAATGGAGTATCCCGTTTCCGTCTTTATATGTACTCCCTTGGTCCCAAAAAGAATGTCACAGTTACTATTCTGGCCCCTCGATAACTTTTACTCCGTAGTTGTTTACTCGTTTTGGTTGACCATTTGATAAAATAAAATATTCTTGTCGCATCTTGTTTTGTAGAACTTTTCATATACTTTTGAATGGTGTAATTTTTACTTTTTATTAATCTACCAATTTGATATTAAAGTAATTTTAAAAGAGATGATATTTTGCACATCGTTCGAAGTGTTGCAAATAAATTGGGACGGAGAGAGTACATTTTTATTCAATACTCTGTACAATAAAATATTTCTGTATTCATTACATCAATATATAAACAAATTGGGTTGAAAATAATTGTATTAGCATATCAGAAATTAAAACGCTCGGGTACGTATTAATTTCTATTAAATGGAATAATAGTCTGCTTTAGAAGATCACAAGCACAAAGTGGACGTGCCGGAGTGGTTATCGGGCATGACTAGAAATCATGTGGGCTCTGCCCGCGCAGGTTCGAATCCTGCCGTCCACGTTCATATTAACTTTAAATTTAGTTATTTTTTTGCATAATTTCATCAATCATTTGATAATACGTAGTATAAAATATTCTTGCCACATCTTGTTTTATAAGACTTAATATAATTTTAATTAATGTAATTTATTTTTTTTATGATATACCAATTTGTAAATAATTTAATTTTAAAAACGGTAGATTTTGTACATTGTTCAAAATAAATAGTTTATTTTTGGACTGAATTATTTTTTGTACGCCATCCTTTTTTCGTGCATTTCACTTTGTACAAATAATACTCCCTTTTTTAATACCACCAAAATGATATTTTAAAAACCTTTATGGATATAAGTATTGTTTTATAGTTTTTATATTTAAATTAATTGCATATTTATGTAGTACTACATGATTAATATTCTTTTTTCATAAATTAAATTATTTGTTTACTATTGGTATGATGAAACTTCATTCATTTTCTTTCATTATTTTCATTACTCGTTTGATAAAATAGTAATAAAATCATGTCACATGTTAATATGTACTCCCTCTGTCCACCATTTACAGGGTCAAACTTTACTCACTTTGTTTGCTTATTTTTACTAGTCATTTTGTAAAATAATATAGTCTTGTCACCTCTTGTTTTGTAGAACTTTTCATGTAGTTTATTACTATATAAATTTTATTTTAAAATTTTACTTCTATAATCAATTAAATTGAATTGAAAATAAAGTCGGTCGCCTTTTAATTCATACTCTGTTGAACATGTTAGTTAGTGACCATAGACATTAAAATGATAACTTCAAGGTGTTCCCAACAATTTCCTAAATTTTTATGTCCTTTTTTTGAATTTGGGACATGGAACAATTTTGTTGATAATGGACAACTACGGTGTCTTTGCCTTTTTGGGCGCTTACAGGGGGCTGTGGTAAGGATATAGGATTATAGGAATAAGATCCATCGATTTTACGAATGGAACTCTATAGATATCCAATCGGAATCAATGTCATCCATTGACACTCGCCCAACATGAGTGTCATCGAGTGTCAACAGATTGACGCCTTTAGAAAAACAAGATGGTTCCGTTAATATTGGACTACAGTGACACTACGGTACCACCTTTAGCCTCCTAGTGAATTATTGTGTTCAACTCATTTTTGCATAATTAAGGAGTAATACTAGATTACTAGTCCATGTTCAACTCATTTTAATTTTTGACTAATTCCATAGAAATTGTTACAGTATTTCACTTGGAGCATGAATCACATTTTGTTTTCTATTCGATCAGATACAATTTAAAATTTGGATACAAATTTTATTTAACATTCAATCTCGGAAAATCATAAGCTAGGATTTTAAGGGTCTAAAAATTACTCCGTACAATCCGCTATGCCACCCAAGGTGTTCTCGATAATATTTTTCTCTGGAGACTTTCCGTGTGCTTGATATCCTCCAATGAGGAAACACGAGGTTCAAAACAAAGTTTGTGATTTGACTTCACAATTTTTTTAAAAAAAATATTGAAAAATAAAAAAGTTTAAAATTAGAACCTATGTTTGGAGGAGAGATCATTTGTGACTTGTGAGCAATACATTCCATTCATTAAATAAAAAATAAAAAAATGTGAAATTTGTTTTGCTAAAATCACCCAAAACAAGAGAGTAAAACATAGGCTTTATTCTCAAAATAAAAGTTACCGGAGTACTTGTTTTTATCCTCAAAAGAAAAGTTTACATTGTGACAATGCAACACTATATTAAGTTTTCATAGTATTTTTTGGTATTATATGTTAATATTATTGACATTGAAACTCTTATTTTGAAAATACAGAGTAAAAACTTAAAAATCTTATTTTGATATTTTTCGTCTTAGTTTTGTCTTTTTCCTTTTATTTCGAGACCGACAAAAAAAATTAAAATTCATTTTGGGATAGGCGAAGTACTACAATCAGTTTTTTCTATATGGACACTCAACTAGGCCACCCTTCATGGAGTTCATTCATTCTCACCAATGAACAAAGGGGCATACAAATAGTATGATCAAATCTCAAAGACCTTTGGTATGATCAAATCTCAAAAGGCTTCCAAACAAACAAAAAAGAAGCCCATGAATAAGAAAACTCAGACTGAATTAAGTAGAGGCATATATTCAAATTTCAAAGGGCTGATATGAACCTTTGGATTCTTGATTGCGTCCTCTCCTTCTCCTCTGGTCCGCTGAAATCGCCAATGTTGTCATGATATTCCTGTTCCAAAGGACACAGATTTACAATATTTTGAGCACAATTCTTATTCGACGACAATCCAGCATGTCCTAGACCTCAACTCTACCTATTATCTTATGCGTAAACAGAAACGCAAGATAAGGGGTACCGAAAAGGCAAAAAATAATGTTTTCAAACATCATTTGTAAATACTAACTACTAAGTAAACAAATAGTTGTAAGAAGGCTTTCCTTGGTTCTGAAACCCAGTCTATTAGAGGTCTTGTCACTGCAGTTCTTCTAGCACCGGTTTCGGGTTCCATATTATGACGTTGGGGCCCTACGATGCTCATTTTATGGTTTAGTAGATATCCTGGTGTGTGTATATAGTTGAGATTTCTCAGAGAAGCCCCTTAAAAATCTTCCTAGCAAACAGTCTAAAATTTGCATACTATCTAAGGGCACGTTTGGTAATGATTATTCACTTATTTGACTGAAATGCTTAAATTTTGAACAAAAAAAGTGCTAGTAATATACATTACAGCTAAATACGCAAGTCAAAAGCTATCCATTCTGATTTGGCGATAATTAGACAAACCCAAATCTAGCTACCAATGGAATCCTAAACCCAGCAATGTGTGCTGTATGAACTACAAATATATTTAATGCAGTGAATAGGCTGAAAGGATAATTAGAGGGAAAACATAGAATTTCATAAGTGATGTGCAAATACCTGGAGTATATCCTTCACATCCTGCTTGGTGAGCTTATGCTGCTTCAACAGTAGCTCAATCCTTGCTCGGATCCGAGGATGCCTAATAGGCATGCCACGAAAAGAGTGAAAATATACATCAAGCCCTTGTTTGGGTGAAGGATTTCAAAGGGGGTGGGTGATAAGGAGTATTTATTTTATAAACTTGTGCTTGAATTTACATAATTACATGGTTGGAAAGAAAGTGAAGGTGATAATTTAAATAGTAATACAATATGAATTCAATAAATATAAACTCCCTAGTTATTCTCTGATCGAAGACTAATAAATAGAGATAAATTAGTAAGACAAAAAATAAGGCCAGATCTGGGAGAGAGATGCCGCTGGAAAACCATGATATTAAGCACAAAATGAATATTTAGGTGCTGATACATACTCAGAAGTCCACAGATGACCAAGGATCACAGCAATCAACTGCAGAATATGAGAGAGAGAGAGAGAGGGGGAGAGAATTAGAACGTAGTACAGTAAAATCAAAGATAGAGATGATAAAACGCTCCAGGAAATGAAAGAAAAGAGAGTATTCAAGATAAAAATAAAATACTCAACCTGAAGGGTATAAAGTCCGGCTTCTAGCTTTCTGTTGTATTTTTCATCTTCATCCATCTAAAGAGATAACGAGATTAATGCATTAAGGCTATGTTTGGAAAGTGGAAAAAAGTGGTGTGTGCGGGTGGGGGGTGGGGGGTATGCTTTTATAAAGTAGTTTTTAGAATTTTTTTTTTGCTTTGCCTCTTAAAATAAGGAAACTTAAATTTGATTAAAACTTAAATTAGATTTTTTTGTCCTTATATAATAGAAATATATAATGAGTTCTAGTGCAAAAACGACAACAACCCAGTAGGATCCCACTAAAGTGGGGTAACTAAAATGAGTTCTGGTAAATATGTAAACTAAGTGCATTGAATTTGAGTCTTTCATTTTCCCCTAAATTTTCCATACTACCAATTATCTTCTCTTTTTTTCTTCCTACTTTCTTCCTCTAAAATTTTCTGTGTTCCAACCTTAAATAACCAAAAGGACTGTTCAGAATAGAAAGATGATGGCATAATGATGTTACTCTCAGAATTATAAACAGAAATAACCTCCAAATCATCAAGTTCAAGCTGGTCAAACTTAGCAGCTTCTTTTTTCACTCTAGTAGAATATCTGCCAAACAAAATCAAACAAAGATCAGATGAAAGTACTATCACAGGGGAAGAATATTTATGTTCCTTGAAGGCTGTTTTGTGACATAAAAAGAAAGCAGGCTGATGACCTCATGTATAATTCCATAAGTCTGTCTATCTTCTCACATTCATTCTCCACAAATTTACTCAACAATCTCTCTCTTCTAGACCCTCTTAATATTCCACCTGCCATTCCCAAGCACAATCACAAGACAAAAGATCAATATCCACAAGAAGCATGATATGATGCAAAATTGCAAATGGAAGCATTAAAAGGTTCACAATAGCCACGGCATATTTTCCGTTCTTCCATCCGCTCATCAATACTTAAATAATAATAGTATTTGTAAAATAGATATTTAATGTTATTTAGATTTTGGGAAAAGAGTTGAACTTTGATGAAGCTTTTGTGAATAGTTAAAGGCCGAAGACATGGAACGGGGCAGAACTTTCTAGAACAATTCTACCCGTCGAACCAACAACCTTCTTGAGTAATTGAAGAGGCTGAAGATGCAGGGAAGAGTAAATAGGACTTAACAAATCAGAGAAGAGCGAAGTTGTGGACGAGAGTGACAAACCATTTCCCTATAAGACCTAGCGGTGCACATCTCATAGATTGGACTTCCACATCCACAATAAACTATGGGTGTTGCTACGTCTGTTTTGATTGGCTTCGATTTGGTTGGTTTGTTTTTGAAAAATGTAAAACTGAATATCAAAGTGGATGAGGTAAGTCAGTTCTGACAGTTCTGGGTTTTGACAAGTCATTTTTCTACCCGGCTTGGTGGTGCGGATCGCATAGATTGGATCCCACTGCCACAGACACAATAAAGTAGGGGTCTTTGTATCAGTTGGCTTCGGTTTGGCTGGCTCAATTTAGTAAAATTGCAAAAATGAAAACCAAACTGAACAACGTAAATCAATTTGATCAGGTCCATTTCACTTCTGTCATTTGTCTGTTTTCATTGGTTTCTGTCGGTTCTCATATCCTAAACTTTACAGTTTACAAATCATAAGGAGGTCATCCGCTGTAACACGATGATACTTATAGAGACCACATACATAATTCTTTTTTATTGAGTTTCCCTGTGACAAATATAAGCAGGAGAAAGAAAAAGTTCACCTACAAAGCCTATTTACCCTTCTAAGCAATAAATGATGCAACAAGTGATACATGGCCCTCTATCAGTTCTTCCTCTCATCTTTTTCTGTTCATTTGCACAAAAGGCCCGTAAAATGCACAAGGAAAAAGTTCAGCTGTAAGATCTATATTATCTTCTAACCAAGTAATGATGCAATGAGTGATACGAGGCGCTCTTCCAATTCTTCCTTGTAGCGCTTCTTGTTCTTTTTGCTCAAAGGAAGCTAAAAGTGCAAGAAAAAAGAAAGAAAAACACTTTAAAGTTTTGCATATAATGTTGGGAAAGAAGGGTTGAGAGCTTGGGAAATATGAAGCGACATTAGTATAAAAGATTAGTGTAGAAAGTATATATCATCCTTCCCCTAAAAAAAGAACTTTGTTTCAAACTTTCAGTAAGGAACCACCGTAACACCATTTGGCTGAGTTAAATCAATCAACATAAATCGCTTTACTAAAATGAACTACTTCAATTAAACCGCTAGCCACTTGGATTTACATGAATTTTACTTAAAATGATGATTAAATTTTAAAATATATCTCTATTTTTGGGACAAAAGTTGTTACAAAGGACTTCTCTTTTTGGACATAAGAAATGAAAAATCGTCTAAATGTTTTTATATTTCAAAGCAAAAATTGTAAGAAAAGTACAGGGTGGAATATCCCCAATAAAAATACTGAGTGGTAAAACTAAAGAGGAAATGTGCATGATGCAAAGTCCAGTATTAGTTCTTGGAAACCATATGACGTCTTAAAGTGAACTCCAACTATACACTTTCCTTTAGACTTCAGAAAACAAAACTTGTTCCGTTTCAAAAACATCCCCCCAAAAAAATTAGTAAGCTAACAGTAGCTAAAGAGATCATTACAAAGCATCTCGTGATGCCACTAATGAGATCTAATGAATTCAAAAGTAGCATATACTCTGGGGTAGTTAACAATAAAAAGAGGCGGCTGAACTTGCCTTACCCATGAAAGCGGGAAATGCAGTCTTTAGCCCCATCACGTCCACAAATCTCTCGCACGCTGGGGGGTAATTAGTCATTGCAAAGTCCAATGCCCTTATTGCAGAACCATAAGATAGCTTCTTTTGATTCATAATTATTATCATGAGCTCGACTCCTTCAGACTTCACAAATCTTTCTTTGTTCTCCAATGGCATTAACAAACAGCATAGTGAGTCAAACAAATTCTCAACCATCTCTTCCTCATCGGGTGTCTTGGGGTCCTTCGATTTGTAAGCTGCTACAGCCTGCAAAATTGTGTCCACCCCATTCATTTGCCCTAACCTCTTCTGATTGGCCGTGCTACTCTGCAACAAAATAGCCAAAATCTCAGAAGCGTATTGTTTATTGCTGTCAAACTCTTTCACCTTGAGTCTACTCAATAACCACTTCATAAGCTTGGTTCTCTCACACACAAGCTCCGCCACTGATGGCTTCACTTCAATGAAGTTTTCAATCGTAGCTAAAGTGTTGTATATTGCTGCAGATTCATCTGGATCGGCATCAGATAATCGGCTGAGGTTCTGAACAAGCAGCTCAAGAGCATTGTTCTCAATGAGAGCATCAACTAAGACTTGAGCCGGCTCGTCATTGTCCTCGAGAACATCTTCATCAGTGAGGTCCTGAAGCAGCCCAATAACGTCTATGGATATATCTGTGTTTTCGTGATTAATCAAGCTGGTAATGGAAGCAACCGTGCCCAGATTTACTAAATCTGGGTAGAATTCCGGTCCACCTGCCATTACTTTCAGTTTCTGAATCTCATCGTGGAGTTCCATTTCAGAGTCCACGAATTTATCTGGCTGGTCCGGATACTTGAGCCGGGCTGCAATGTTTTCTTTGAGGCGGCGTTCGAATGAGAGTACGAGCTTTTTCACCGTCTTCTGGTCGAGAGCCTCGACGGCGACCTGCTGCGATTTTTCAAGGGCTTCGAGGAGGGAGAGATCAATTCCACCGTCCGTTGTGTCCGGAGGTGCCGGCCGGCCGCCTCCGTATCCATCTTGTTCGTACTCGTCGGCGTTGCGTTTGCGTTTGGAATTGTTGTTGACGACTTCCATGGATTGCCGGACGAATTTCACTGCGCTCTGAACCCTAGCTAACATCAATGAGCAAAATCTCTAATCCTGGTAAACTCCACTCATTTAATACACTCCACCCATTTTTCATTAAGGGTATTATGGTAAACTTTCACCTTTTTTCAACACTCCTTAAAAACCACCAAAAGTCAAAATGAGAACATCTTAGGCGGACGGAGGGAGTATTATTTATGATATGAATTTTATTTTACATGAGAATGAAGACTAAGAGGCTGTTTGGCAACTTCTGAATAGATAAGTGCTGAACCAGTAAGAGGTTTGAACCATTAAGTTCTGAACCAGTAAGAGGTCTGAACCATTAAGAGCTAGTATATTGCTTAACTATTCAGAGGCAAATGTCTGATCAATTCAGATAAGAGGTCTTAACCATTCAGACTCTGTATAATACTTAACCATTCAGAGGCAAATCTCTTAACCATTCAGACATCTGAACCATTAAGAGGCTGAAACAAACAGTCTGAATCATTAAGTGATAAACCATTAACAGTCTGAATCATTAGTGATAAATCATTAAATGATAAACCATTCAGACATCTGAACCATTAAGAGGCTGAAACAAACAGTCTGAANAGGCTGTTTGGCAACTTCTGAATAGATAAGTGCTGAACCAGTAAGAGGTTTGAACCATTAAGTTCTGAACCAGTAAGAGGTCTGAACCATTAAGAGCTAGTATATTGCTTAACTATTCAGAGGCAAATGTCTGATCAATTCAGATAAGAGGTCTTAACCATTCAGACTCTGTATAATACTTAACCATTCAGAGGCAAATCTCTTAACCATTCAGACATCTGAACCATTAAGAGGCTGAAACAAACAGTCTGAATCATTAAGTGATAAACCATTAACAGTCTGAATCATTAGTGATAAATCATTAAATGATAAACCATTCAGACATCTGAACCATTAAGAGGCTGAAACAAACATCCCCTAAGTTATGTGAGAATGAGTATTGTTTTGTTTAAGAATGAAAATTACATAACTTGTAGATAAAAATTATAGTTATATTGAACTAATGTGCGAAAATGAGTACTGCATTATTTTAGAATGAGTAGTCCTAGTTAGTTAATACGCGTATTATACTTACGTACGTATAATACATGTATTATACTTGCGTATACGTATAATTTCATAAAATACGTTAAAATACGCGTATTTTTAGTCCAACCGTATAAACACGTTTTTATCCGACTGATTCACAAATCAGAACCTTAACCCTTTTGTTATTTCTCGTTGTCCAGTTTACGAGGAGCGCCGCTGGAGTATTTTGTCGCTGGACTGGTGGAGTGTCTTGCCTCTGTAGCGTCGGCGATTTCCTCTTCCTCTTCGGCTATTTGGTCTGATGCTCTGTTTCAAGTCATTCAACTCAGCAGCGCCGACGATTTCTTCTTCCTCTTTGGTCTGATACTCTAATGCCAGTAAGTTCCTATAGTTTTTTCATGTTTTCATCATCTGATTTATGGATTTCCTTTTGCGATTTGTCTCAAACTCCCAAATCCCTAATATGCAATTACATATTTAAAACAATCTGCCAATATTTCCCAAAAAAAAGTTGCTAATAAATGGCTAATACATTCTCATGCATAGTATGAGTAAGGTATTATGTTATGCAGTAACCACCCAAAAAAACCATCACAAGTTCATGTATAGAAAATAAGATGTTATCGTAAATAAATTTACTTGCTTTGTTTTTATCCAATACTCAATCCCAATACTTATTTCGTATCTGACAAAAAAACATTAAAGAATACTATGGAGTACACAAAGATTCTTACAATAAGAGTCTTGGATACCAAAATATCATGACATTAGTGCTCATAGTGCATTCCAATTGGATTTGAACGTTATTTGTTTACACATTTACATATGATGAAGTGTGTAAATTTAGTCAAATATTTAGAAATACCAAAATAAAGAATAATTAAATTGAAGTTAACCTTTCAATTTTGCCGTCAATATAATGATAAAAGTAAGATGTGATAGATATATTACTAATGAAAAAATATGATATAATTGATAGGGTAAAAAAGTAGAGCTAAAACTGATTTTTTAATAAAAAGTGGACTGGAAGTTTTTTGGTTGATAAATTGATTGTAAAAAAAATAAAATATGAAGTATTTTGTTGAAAGGATAAAATTAAATGGATACATTTCACATTGTGCATGGCACAAGTGATGCACTAGTTGGACTAATATGTCAATCCAATTAGAATAATGTTAGGGTGCCATCACATGGGTGCTACCATGGGTGCACCCATGCTTCACACAGACAAACACAAACAATAATTGTTTGTGTCACACAGACAATTATCATCTGTGTTTGTGCGTGTGAAGCGGTGCACTCATATGGTAACACCACCCATATGGTGGCACAGACCCATCCGCTAGTAAAATTAGGGATTGAAGATCGAATTCTAGAATCTGAGATTGAATTAGTGGGTTTTTTCTTTGACTTTTGACATTTTAACACAAAATTCATGTTAAAAGGCCAAACGCCGCTTAATAAATTCTTCATTTCATCTTCTTCCCAACTTACATTCCAATTCACCCGCTCCCAGGCAACTCCCCTCTTGCAGGAAGATCCAAACATAGAGACCAAAGCTGCCATGGCCGGAGTTGAGATGCTGCCAAGGGAATACGGCTACGTGGTAATCGTCCTCGTCCTCTACTGTTTCCTCAACTTCTGGATGGCCATCCAAGTCGTCAAAGCTCGCAAGAAGTATACAGCTTCGATTCATACTCAATTTTGTAGTTTTTGCGAATTACGTTTTCAGACTTGCACCGATTCGGATCTGAATTTGTAATCGAATTGTTTTTCGGTTTTAGGTTTTAAGTTTTGAATCGAGTTGTTATATTCGTGGCAGGTATAATGTTCCCTATCCTGCCATGTATGCTTCAGAAGCTGAAAACAAGGACGCCAAGCTCTTCAACTGCGTTCAGGTTCTTAATTACTACCTTCTCTGTTCCTCCCCCCCCCTCCCCCCCCCAAAAAAAAATGGGAGGTGAAATGTAGAGATGATTGCTTGAAAATGTGTGATTTGCAATGGGTTTGATTGGGATTGTTGGGTGTGATGACAGAGGGGACATCAGAATTCACTGGAACTGATGCCTGTATTCTTCATGCTGATGATAGTGGGAGGAATAAAGCACCCTTTGGTGTGTGCTTCACTGGGTGCTGTTTACACATTTGCTCGTCTCGGCTATTTCATAGGCTATGCTACTGGGGTTCCTGAGAACCGCCTTACAGTTGGGTATGCATTTTTTGTTGATGAAAGTTTATAGTTCAGCACGTGCGTGTTCTCATAAACTATTAACGCCAGTTTGTTGAGCTAATCAGGGATTATACGTGTTCTGAAATGTGGAAGAAATGATATGAGTTTTGAAATATGAAGTGAAAGTGTTTTAAAGATTTGGAATAATGGTCGTTAGTGACATGCTGGGTGGCCGGCGGTTCAGGGAGATATCAAAACTCCGGATTGATATATATTATCAAAACACTATCATTTTGGGAGGATTGTGATGCCCAAAGATATCAAATCTAAACCCTGTTTAGGCTTCACCAAACACCCATAAAAAAGATTCTGAACCCATTTTTCACGTGCTCAACTAAGAAGTCCTTATAGAGTTGATTGAGGTTTGGATTTGTGCTAAATTGCTTGCTAGTCGATAGAGATCCTCTTATCATTAGTTAAAACATCAAAACATAAATGATGGCACGATGCAAATATCAAAAAATGATATGCTTGAGTGAATGATGTAGTTGTTCGCATATGCATTACAACATGTATATGAAATTTTAACGTTGCATATACATACATCCATGGATTCAATGCACATGCTATGTTGTCTAGAACTCATAGTCATAGCAACTTTAGACTTTTCGTGCACATCATTGGGCACATGTGATGTAGTCTAGACTCTAGAACTCATAAAAACTTTAACCTTTTTATGCACTGGGCACATGTTAAGTAAGCTAGAACTCTTAGTCATAACAACTTAAAACCATTTTATGTACACCACTAGGCACATTTTAAAGTAGAGTCTAGAACTCATGGCTTTTAGAATTGAAAGGAACATTTTACTTTCCAAATGAGATTCTAGGTTTGGATTCTGGAAATATGTTCACTCCCCCAACTCCCATATGAATACGTAACAATTATGTACTCTTACTTTGTTTACTGTGGTTACTTTGCTGGTTGTGCTTTCTGTTTTGGCTGAGGATCTCTTACACTATGTTTGGTTTAAGGAATTTGAAGATGAAAAGAAAAGAAATTGAGAGGGAATCCAAAATTCTCCCCATTTTGGCAAGGAGAGAGAAAACCATTTTCTTTTGTTTTCCTTCCCAATTCCTTGAACCAAACATAGACTTAGGCTCCGTTAGTTACACGAAATTGAAATTATGGAATTGGAATTGGAGAGAACAATTCTAATTCAGCTGTTTGGCAGCACAAAAATATGCGGATTTGGAATTGGTAGTGCCGAAAATGACCCGGAATTGGAGAGTTCAATTCCATAGAAATCAATTCATAGAACTTCAACTCCTAATTCAATTCCAATTCCGTCAATTCCGTGTACCAAACGAACACTTAGAAAGCTCTCTACTATCAAGTACATATTATCAAAAGAGGTGATGGCAAACCCTCCCCATATCCTACTTATTGTGAGATTTTACTGGGTTTGATGTTATTGAATCCGAGAACACCCATGGCAATTGTTGTTTATGCTACTCGTATTCTGAGCCATTTCTGACCTTGCAGGAAATACAATCTTGTTATGATTTTTGGCCTCATGATTTGCTCACTATTTTCCGGAGTGAATATTCTTGCCTCATCATGAGCAAGAGGATGATTGGTAACACTCTCTTCCCTGAGAGAATCCACATACCTCTTCTTCTCTCTTGCGTTTGGGACAATGCCATTCGCCTCTCTGTACTCTTTCACTCATGTTATACACCCTGTAACATTATTATATGTGCTGTGTTTTTAGGCGTTTTCAAACTCCAACATAAACTGTGCCAACCATATGGTTTGCGTTATTCATATGATCTAAATAAAGTGTTTATGCTCTGCAAATTTATTGTTTCTCGCAAAAAAAAAATGCCCCTTCATATAAGGGCTCATTTGGTAAGTGCTAAAATGGTAGAGACTGAATCTGCTGCGAAATTGAATGTTGAAATCGCTTTCTTTTTGTACATAGGAAAATTGATCTAAAATACATTTCTTGAATAAATTACTCCGTAGATCAAATATTATGGTTGAAGTGTCATATTCAGCCAAAAATATAAATTATACGGAGTACTATGTTTACTCTTTTTTATTCACTTCTTTTACATTTGTGAGATAATGTAGTCGTTGCATGATGAATTTGGTTGTGTCAAAGTAATTGGTGTAATTAAAACTTGTGAATCAACTTAGTCTCTTTAATACTCCCTCTTTGAATTATGTAAAAAGTATATATGATGGAAACCATTTTTTCGGGGCGTCGACCCGATGAACTTGGTACCGGGTCGGCACCGCACCGAACAATGAAATCTGATAAATAAATAAATAAATAAAGCAGAAAGAAAGTATTTATATGCGGAAACTCAAATTGAGAGAAAACTACGGGCTTTTTTTAGGCGGTGTCATGCCAAGCGGATGAACTTTCATTAATTTTGGGAAGATTTACATATACATCATTGTCAAAATTTAGAGCCATCCCTGGAGTTCTTAAACTTAAAATGAGAAGGAGAAATAATTATAGTACTAGGAGCTCTCCCAATGTAGAAATTGGTTTCCATCCTTTCTCTCATGGCCTCTTCTTATAGTAGGAGAAAGGAATGAGGTAGTGTGAGACAAGGGATTATGTCAAATATATCCTTGGATTCTTGCCAATATTTATATATCTCATCAAATTATCTTCTTCATCTTCATATCTCTGGCTCCGTCTTGAATAAAATATCTGATTTGTATGTTGGGCCGGACTAAATTGGGTTTATTTGTATTGTTCAAATAGTGTTAGATTAGGTAAAATCCCTAATCCATCAGTATATTTATAATGTTAATTTAGTAAAATTAGATTAATTTAAAAATAAAGTTTTGAAATATTAAATTTTTATACAGTAATATTTAATTATTTTGAATTATATTTAATTCGTGATCAAAGAGTATCACAGTTTGATCAAAAAGTTAAAGTGTGACAATCTTTTAGGAACGAGGAAAGTATTATTTTTAGGGGTATTTTTTATAATTCTCAATAATATATTTACTAAAAATTATTTCCTTAATATTATCTTCAGTGGGTAGTTTTGAAAAATTCTCACTAATATATTTACTAAAAATTGAGTGGATTTTCAATGCCTAATGTCTAAAGGTAAAAGGTGTACAACTAAATCTTGAGAGAGAAGTAGTATTAATTACTTCCCTCTATTCTTTTAACCATACACTTAGCTATATTCATTTATTTATAAAAATTTTATGTCCCCTTTCTTAATTTACATTTTAAGAATAAATTTATACATTTATAATAAATACGGAGTACGTAATATGGATTTAGTAAAAATTGAGGTGGATTTATCAACTCCATTTGATAATGGGAAGTAATTTTAAATGCAAATGTGCTCCAGTCAGCTCAAATCTCTCCAGCCCATTAAAGCCCAATAAAAAACACTCTTCATTTCCCCTGCCAGCCAGCCCCTTATCGTTTCTCCTCGTTCGATTCCCCCTCCGCGCAGCGACTCCAGCGATCCAGGCAGCCTGCAACGGCGTACGGCGACGGTGACCGGCGGTGGCCATTCCTTTTCTGACCGCATCTCTGCATCAGGCCTCTCCCATCAGCGCGAGGCTCCACTTCTTCAGTTAGGGTAAATCTTAATTTTTTTTATTTTTTTGTTCTTAATATAGGCTTCTTAATGCTCATGTACTTTGGTGAAGTGAGTCTATAATTACTAAAATTTTATAATATATTTTTTGAAACATCATTAAAATTGTGTATCTATCAGTGAATTGGATGCATCCAATATTGGGTTGTTGTTCATTGTTGCGTAATATTTGTTATGTGAAATCTTATTAATATGAATTTTGGAGTGAAGCTGTTTATGTGAAGCTGTTAATTTGAAATTGTTAATGTGAAGTTGGTAATGTGAAATTGTTAATGTGAAATTGTTAATTTCATAGTTAAAATTTGCCTAAAAATGATATCAATAAGAATTGTGGAATGAAATTGTTAGATGTGAGAAAATTTGAGAAAAGTGAGTGTTTTAAAATTACTAGAATAGAATTTTGAAGTGAAACATTTTAAAATTACAAGAATAGGATCGAAAGTAAAATATTTAAAATATGATAATTAAATTAAGATATGATGCACTTTGTGAATTGTAATTTTTTGGAAAATTTTTAATTTTAATTATTTGAATGATTGTTTGAGATTTAGTTGTTTTTCTTTCTATCATTTCTCATTGCCTTAAAATTGTTTTGAGGCTTATGTCCCTGGACCCAAGTACTTTTCCAATCCCTGTTCACTAGAGGTGCCCCGGTCACCTTTTTTTTGCTGGATCTGCCCTGGTCTGGTATTTTCACCTAAGTTTTTGCCCTCTACATTCCACTGCATTTCCTTTGTCTAGCATTTTTGTGGATTTCAAACCGATCCTCAATCTTTTTGAAATTTTCCATTTGTGCAATTTTAGGGGTTCTTCGAGGGCCTCTTAAAGTGCTCTCCTTTTCTTTCACCTATGTGAGAAGGGAATTCGAGGTGGCAGAGAGGATTTTGTTCTCAGCCTTTTCCTTCCTTGGTCTAACTAATTCATGTTGGGTTCAGTTTAAGCTGTGTTTTATTTAGGCCATCCAAATAGAGGTTGGAGGCTATACAAAGATGAAAAATAAGTTTTTTCAAACAAGAACTCTTTTTTATGAGTACGGCTTATGGAAAAATTGTTATCAGGTATTTGGCTTATATAATTTAAATAAACCTACATCGAAAAATCAATTTTACCTCTACTCCCAAAAGCTTGTATTTATAGGTACCCTAAGCGTTTATTATAACATTCGTTAATTTTAAACCAATACAAGTTAATATCATATGTGCTTTAATTGAGCATTCATGGGTAGAGGTAATCTTACTTTTGTTTCCCCCCAAGTGGTTTTTAGATAATAAGCCAAATAAGTGAAACAACAATTCGTTAAATGGTAAGTGATTGTGAGTTAATACTTGAATTGTTACTTACATGTTGATCTCTTAATCCTCATAGGTCTGTGAAATTTGAGAATTTGGATTGCATTTTTCCAGCAAGATCTGAGGAGGTCGAATCATGTCAACTGCAATGGGACTTGAATCTCTTGTGAATCGTATGTAAAAAAATCTTACGGTTCTAAGTATGCTGTTTGGTTTTACTTTTATCTAAAACAATTACCTTTGTTTGGTCCAGAGACCATATCAGTAATTACCAATGATGGGCGAAACATAGTGGTGAGCTTCATGAACTTTCAAACTTGTTCTTTGTTTCTTATTAATTAACACTACTTGGTTCAATGAATTCGGAAGTGAGAAGAAAAGAAAATGATAAGGAAAAACAATTTTGGTGTTTGGTTTAGATAGGAAAAGAAAAAAAAATTGGAATGAGAATAATANTCCCCCCCCCCCTCCCTCCCTCGTCCCCCCATCCCTCCCTCCTCATCTTTCAACAATGGCTTTCTTGGACTTATTGATAAGGAATTTCTTCACTTGTTTCCTTACCAAATTAACCCAACATGCTTAAGATTTTTGGTTTCTTTGATTTTCTTCTCTTTTCCTTGGCATTTTTCTTTGTTTTCTAATCCCATGAACCAAACGTAGTGTAACTTAAAAGAAATTGCATATGCTCTCACTTGCTGGAATCCATTTTTTTATCTCAGGGAATCTTGAAAGGGTATGACCAAGCCACAAACTTAATTCTTGATGAATCTCATGAAAGGGTGTATTCAACCAAGGTCTGGCTTAACAATTAACATTACTATTTTTCGCCCACTTTTGTGTTGAATTCATAACTTTTTTTCTAGTTGAGGATCATATACTTTCACTTTTGGTCCTTTATTCCACATTTCATTTGGTGCACGACACTATCAAACTTGTTGCCGCTCTGGCAGCTTGGCGCTTTCGATCACATATTTGGCCATTGAGTAGGACCTAATAGCGATGGGACCAAAAGTGAGATATTTTCTATTATCATGTAACAAACCAGTTGTTTTTGAAATGCAGGAAGGGGTACAACAACTTGTCTTGGGACTTTACATTATAAGAGGGGACAATATGTATGTGCCAATCTTCTCTCTCTCTCTCTCTCTCTCTCTCTCTCCCTTCAATTGCATTAGAATAATGATGGTGATGGGTCTATTTGGACCGGCCCAAATATGTATAGTGGATTAGACCCAACATACCCAGTCCAATCCATAACTGATAGTGTAATCAGGTCCAAACCACTAAATCCCATACCGGCCATACACATGGCAAGAGAATTCAGCCCACGTGAAGTAGGCTAGGGTTAGAAGACAAATTTGTTGATCTCCACGATTCTCCCCCACGCCGCAATGATTGCTCATGATCATGGGGCATGTTCGCATGCCTTCCAGCAACGTGGGAGGCAGTTTCTTGCGGTTGAGCAGCCCATTGATCTCTCTATAAATATAACATTTCCAAGTCTGGAGGAGTTTGCATACAAGACATAATATTGCTTCATCTCTCCCTCATTTTATCTCACTTTTCCAGTACTCGATCATTATTACTCGGGGCATTATGTTAAATCTTAATTCCAATGGACTAACGTTCGTAATTATAATGATAATAATTATAATCTCAAGTGCTTAAGTGTTTGAAATATGCAGTTGCGTTGTTGGGGAATTAGACGAAGAGCTGGATGCAAGCTTGGACTTGTCTCAGCTGAGAGCTCATCCCTTAAAAGCGGTTGTCCATTGATTTTCTTTGTATGGAATCAGAATGGATCAAGCTCTCCTAGTCACTTTTTTTTTTTTTGTTTCCAACAGTTTTAGGAAGCCATGTTTTTTGGACATTCTTGGATATGTTCTCTTTTTAACTGAACTTTAAAATGTTGATCCAAGCTGAATGCTTTAGTTTTGAATCCTATTTGATGTGCATCGAATCCAATTTATGAGTACTTGACTAAATGTATAGCCAAAAAGGACGCGCTCTGTATTTTTTGAGGGATCTAACCGTAGATGCGTTCGGTATTTTTAGTTCACTTTTGGCTTTTTTAGGTCACTTCTGTCATATAACATCTGGTTTGCTTGTGGCTCTTAAGTCACTTGTGTGATAAATTGATCAAAAAGGGCTAAAAAGACTACAAGTGGCATAATTTCTTGAACACAAATGAATATAGTGCCAATAGTAGAAATGAGCTAATAATAATTAGTGCCAGGATAACTAGTACTCCAAGCAAGATTTTAGACCAGGAGTATTGTTTATTATAACTAAATTGATATCTCAAAACATATCTTGGCAAAAAATTAACCTAAACCCAAGCAAGATTTTAGACCTAAGAGCTTGTTTTCTTCAATTTATTTTTTATTCTGATTTGAATTAGATAAAAAAAGCTTAAAATACAATTACAATTAAACCAAATTAGATCAGAATTTATCCCAATCAGATCACCCGAAGTGAACAATCCCTAAATCAAATTCTATTCAAAATCTAAAGCACATACAACAATCTACAGAATTGAACTGAAAATCTACAAAACTTGCTTTCACAATCAAAGCAAGCCAAAATGGCTCTCAAAGTCTACTTGTTGCTCTTCTAGGCGACACTCCATGGCAAAATCTGGAAGTAGAAATCAGATTCTGAAATGAAAAATCTACAGAATCAACTTTTTTTTCAGAATGAAAGTGAACTGAATGGCACTCAAGTCTCTACCTATTTTGCCCCTCTTCCACCTCAGACTCTTCTTCACCCTGGGTTGGGTCTCCCCTTCGCCCGCGACGCCCCATGGCGACAAGATGAAGAAGCTTCCTCCTAGCATCATACACAGGGTTTGGCTCAACCAGGCAACCCCTCTCATAAGCCTCCCTGAGAAAAACAGTGTGCCTATACCCTTTTGTTGACAGGTAGAAGATCCCTGGGTGATCCAGAAAAAGGTCCCTTACGTTCACATCGATCCCAAACCACCGCCAGAAATGGCTGATCTTCTCCACCTCCACCATCTTCTCCACCGTCAAGCTCAAGAACTCGTGAACTATCCCCACCGCTCTCTTCTCCTTCTCCATCATTCTCCTCTTGCTCATCTTCTTCTTCTTCTTCACCTCCTCCTGGCATTCGAATTCATCGTATGGCCCTGTGTAGGGCAACCCCTGCCATTGTTTAACCCTAGCCTTGAAATCCCTCTTCAATATCATTCCAGGAGGATACGAATGTTTGAAGCTGTAGAGGATTTCAGTTCTATCCATGCTGCAATCGTCTCTGCAGCACTCCTTGATCCTCCAATCTTCGACGGAAGCGACCAGAGTGTTTTTAGGGATTTCGGTTACGAGTTTCAGTACATGCGTGTTGGGCTCGTTTCCTTGGCCGAGTGCGAATATGTTAGGGTTTGATGATATCACAGAGGTCTCGAAATCGTCTGGAAGACCAAGCTCTTTCCAGATCTTGAAGATGGCGCGAAGCGGCACCGTTTTGGTGAGGGACATGGAGAGAAGCTTGATTAGGCGGTCGACGACGAGAGGCAGGGAGGAATTGATGGATTGCGATTCTAATCGAGAGATTTCCATGGCGGTTTTGGTGAGCGAGCAGTGGGGTTGAGATCTGGCGGAGCTGTAGAATATGTGGAAGATGTGAGGGTACCTGCGGAGGAAGGCGGTGGCGCCGCGGTTGAGGTGGAGCCTCTGGGACAGGCGGTTGAGGAAATCGACGGAGACGGACGGCGGATCGGAGCGGCTGGCGAGGATGAGGTCCTGGATGGCGATGACTCGGAGCAGGTTTTTGTATTTGTCCATGAGCTTCTCGAAGGTGATGTCCCTTGCTCTCGACGCTACGTACGCCGCCGAAGTGGTTTTGCAGCGGCGGAACTGGAGGGTTGCAGAGACGGCGGCGGCGCCGGTGGTGGCATGTTTTGAACTTAGATTCCTCAGGATACGTATTGCCATCGCTTGAGCGGCTACTCCGCCGCCGAGTTGCGGCGGTTCGAGTCTGCCGACCCTGTCCGAAATGGTTGACGGAGAGGTTTTTTGTCACGGTAAAATCAGGGCTCAATATATATGTTACAACAATCGGCGAAGAAGAACAGAGGAGCAATGGGCGAAGGGAACGAATGAGCTAAGGAGAACTGAGAGCGATCCAATGAACTGACCTGACGGAACGGTTCTCGACCGTGGCGGCGGCGAGATCTGAGGTGGACTGAGGCAGCTCAAAAAAGAACGCTACATTAGAATAAGCACTACGTTGTTTCAAAATGAATATTACGTTGTTCATAAATGAATACGGATTATTATAATTATAATTAATAAATGTATAAAAATGAATAGTACGTTACTTCAGAATCAACACTAATTGATTTAAAATGTGTAAACTCTAAATACACTCCCCCGTGAGGGCCATGTTCGGTAAGAAGAATAAGAAAAGGAAAATGCTCCAGGCACTGGAAATGGTTCTAACGCTCGGGAGTGTTTTTTCCGGTTTTAATGCCTCGGACGTCAAACACCACCCCCTAGGGTTTTATCGGGGCGTTAAGACTCCTGCGTCAAACGTGGACGAATGCAGCGCTCTCCTCCCTTCCAACGGCTATGATGTTGTCCCAAATCTCTCTCTCTCTCTCTCCCTCTCTCCCCCCTCTCTCTCCCTTTCTCTCTTATTTCTTAAAAAAAAATCTTCAAGTTTTTCTCTTATTTTTATCATGAATCCCTTCAATTCCTCCATTCGGTCTTAAGTCAAACGAGTACACGACGTGGCTTTACCAAACGTAAGAGAATAATCTGGTGTTTTTCGCTACGCAAACATCGGTAAATCTAGAGGACCGGTAGTCGGTTCTGAAGACTCAACCTGAACTAAGTGCACCAAAAAAATTGCACGCCGGAAGAGTCATAAACTGAAGACCGAAAAGTCGATGACCAAGGCCGCACGATACATTCAAAAGTAGACACCGGAGAAAGAATCGTTTAAGCGTCCGCTTAGGTTGACGCCTCTGAGCATCCTATCGTTGGTAAAATTTATAAATTTTTAATATATATTGTATATATGTTCTTTTTTATATATTTGTGTTAAAATACTCCCTCCGTCCACAAATTAACTTCTCGTTCACTATTCACAGAGTCAAACTTTATTCACTTTGTTGGTCTATTTTCGTCACCCATTTGATAAAATAATATCGTCATGTCACCTCTAATTTTGTAGATCTTTTGATATAGTTTTTTTAATATGTAATTTTTATTTGTAAATTTTACACCATTTTTCATATAAAATGATTTAAAAATAACTTCAGTCAAACATCGTAACGCGCAACGGGAAGTTTATTTGTGGACGGAGGGAGTATATTTTTTGTTCAATTATATATTTCTTAAAGGTTCTGATCAAACGACGAATACGATGTGGGATCGTGTCGAGGAGAAGCGGCGATGAACAAGGACACCTCTAATCGAACTCGAGACCAACCCACTTCGAAATGAGGCCATATCAACAGAAAAGTTTGGAAATTTATCGGAGTTTACAAGAAATGCTCTCGGTCCTAGAATAGCAGGATGAACGATGTCGATACTCTGCTAAGCCACCGTCCGGTACCAAGACGACGGACACCAAAGCAAAGTCCCCGTCGACCTTTAGAGAATTTTAAGCCTTTCACAGAAATGGCAACAACTCAACAACCCAAAGGCCGGATCGACAAAGAAAAGATCCTCCGCTGAGGTTGAGGCCGATGACACTATCGGCTCGTCAGAACAATGGTCTCCCTTCAACCTAGATGACTCCGATGACGAGGACCCTATTCACCGACCGATCGAAAGAAAGAAGGCAAAATCCATCACCTCAGCTTTTGCAGGGTTCAGCTCTGTTTATTCTCACGACGATGCTGGCCGAGCAATGGTTGAACAACTGTGGGTGTTCAATCCTTTACAATAATAAAGGAGACTCTGATTCACGAGAATTCGACATTTGGCGTGTTGATTTGGCAAAATTTTAACATGTCAGCGCCACGTAATCCTTTACTATAATATTTGAGACTCATGTCTCTAAGAAGTTGACACGTGTCATCTTACATGAAAATTTTTAAATGACATGGCGCATGAATAAATCACATGACCTGCTTTAAATTCTCATTCATCATTTATGAAAATTTATTTATGATAACCTTTAAAATATGATGAGTTTAAAAAAAATATATTTTATATTGAAAAATATGGACTTTTTTATTTATTGAAAATTATGTAAATGAAATAAATGTAATTTTTCAACAAAAAGTAAATAAACTAATCATAAAAAAGAAACTAATCATAATTATCCTGTGTCTTTTTTCATAAAAATAAAAATTATATTAAAAGTCTTTTGAGTAAAATATAGTTTTTTAAAAATTATTAATTTATTCTTTTGTATGAAAATTTATTGAGCTAAAATATACTCTCAAGTTACTCATCTTATACCACTAATTAAAGATGAGAAATTTATTAAATAAATTTAGTGCATTATGGATTTATGTATACTAAATAATTTTTAATATGAAAACTTTGTAGTTTAATGTATTTGATTACTTTTTTAATAATTAAAATTTCCTTAAATATATAATAGGGAGTATAAAAATCTATCAAGATTTAAATTTTGTTTGAGATATTTATATATTTACATCACAGTATTGATAGTCTTTTAAAGTATTTATTTATGATAGAAACTGTGTTTATAAATGGTAAAACGTTTGTTTTTAAATGAAAGCATATTCATAAAGGAAATATAAATTTTAAAAAGAATTGTTTTCATCCTCTTTATTAGTAGGACTTTTTGAGCCTTTATTTTTCTTTATTGGAACATAATTTTTATAGAGAAATATATAATAGTAAAAATAGATAATTGAAAAAAATATAATCTTGATATTCATATATTTATAGATTCAGGTATCGAATGACAATGTATATTTTTGAATAGAATATACAGAGTATTAAAATATACAGAGTATTAAAATAGTTCTAGCGCTCTAAATGGTTTGAAAAAAAGGTATGAATACCTCATTTTTTTCAAAACTTATTAAAAAAATGTCTATCATTTCAAAAGGTTGCACACGCACCACATCGGTTCGTACTATTTTCCACTCATTTTTTTAGTAAAAAGGGGGCATTGATACGCATTCCAATCAACATGAGATGATGAGAATCAATGCATAATATCATTTTTTAGCTGTTTTCATATAAAATTGTTCTTTATAATGTTTTAAAGTTCAAATTGGTTTGTATTTGAAATAAAAAACGGAAATAAAAAAAGGATATATTTTCTCCATCTAAATTTAAACATTTTTGTTTTTATATATTTCGATGAAAAGTATTATTGTTTATTCGCTGTATATGCATTTGCATATAAAAATTTATTAATTTCATAAAATAATAATACACAGAGCTGAGGTTCTACATCCACTCACTTTAGGTGGTTTCAGATGACACTAGCTTCAATAGAAGTATCTACGGTGCACCGTTCACAAAATTAATGGTTCCTACCCTCGACACCCCGGTAAACCCCCACTCCAGAGCAAGTGGCTCTAGAATCGTTTCGATAATGGTAGTTTTAATAATAATAATAATACTAATAATAATAATAATAATAATAATAATAAAATTATTGAGAAGAGTAGATTTTGATTAAAACCCCCAAACCGGCTAGCTGACTTGGGTCCTCACCCGATTCTTAGGGTCCGTTTGGTATACGGAATTGACGGAATTGGAATCGAATTGGAATTGAAATTCCATGGGATTCAATTCCGTAGAATTGAATTCTGTCAATTCCAATTCATTTTTTGCACTATCAATTCTAAATCCACATAATTTTTGTTCTACCAAACACCAGAATTGGAATTGAAATCCTCAATTCCAATTCCATAATTTGAATTACATGTACCAAACGGGGACTTAAGGTCTGACGGGTTAAGATGTTTTTTACAAAAATGAGTTTAGTCATAGTATCGGACCCGAACTATGTTTGGATTATGGTCCAATCCATTGAACCAACCAGTATACTTTTGTTAACATTGTATTACTCTCTCAATCTCAATAATGTGTTTGTCATTTTTGAGTTGTTTGACTTTTTTTCATTATATATACTTCTATATGTTTGTTTTTCGTACTACCATTGTCTTAATTAATCTTTCAAGTTTGACTTTTTTGCTCAATTATCTTCAAGCTTTGGTTATAAATAGATATAACTTCAAATAACTAAATTATATAAAGATTTGGCATAACAAAACTACATCTTCAAATAACTAAATTACTATAAATATATATTTTTTTAATAATTTGTTATGTGGTGATGTTTTATGTGAATAGAGGAAAAAAATTTATGGTTTGTATTTACAATATCTTTATGATGGGTATTACATGTACAGATGGAGAGGCATCATCATCAGGTGCAACGCCACACTGTCAAACACACACAAGAAGAAATGTACTTTGTGATGTGACAAATGGTATTTATAAATTTCGAATAAAAAATTTAATTAATCCATTTTTTTAATTTGTGGAAGGGTTACTTATGAAGTAAAACGTCACAAAACATAATTTTAACAACTTTAAAATTTTATCTGTACAATGCTTCAATCAGGGAATAATTGTACACCCATCTTTGCACAGTTGCATGTGCAAAAGAGACAAAGAAGAACCGATCTATCTTATGTAACACGTGCGATAAATTTTTATGAAGGTAATATTAGTTATGATGGTAAATGTGTTTAAACCATTTATATACCAAACCACCTAGGCAAATAGTACAGAATTCATATTTTGGATACACTCAATATACACTCAACAAAATGAATTTGTCCTGTTCCTCATTCCTGGTGATGAAAAGGAGAACTTGATTTCTGATTCTTCGTGCCAAGCAGATGCAGATGTAGATGTTGATGGCGATTGTATAACAGTTGAGTTTTGAACGAAATCAAACGTTCGAGAATCCCAAACCACAAAATAGTCTTGAAAAAAGGGGTACCGGTTATGCTATTGAGGAACATTGACCAAACATCTAGATTGTGTAATGGGACAAGATTAATCGTTCAAGAGCTGCTAACTAATGTTATCGGTGCAATTGTGGTTTTGGGAAATCGAGTCGAGGAAAAAGTTTACATCCCTAGAATGAATTTGGTACCATTTGATCCAGGACTACCCTTGAAGTTCAAAAAAATACAATTCTCGATCGCCTCATGTTTTGCTATGACTATCAACAAAAGTCAAGGTCAAACATTGTCATTTGTGGGATTATTTTTAACCAAATCGCTGTTCACACATGGTCAACTTTAAGTT